GCGCTGGCCGGGCGCTGGGCGGGTGTTGGGGCGCGCGATGGGGCGCGCGCGGGGCATGCCTGGGCTTTTTAGTGCTTACAATAATATTTAATTGTGTAAAAAAATATTTAATTGTGGAATGTCGTTTTCTCCTGATTGAACGACGTGTCATTCCCTCCTCATTCAAATCGACTTAAAAAAAATCTCTCTCCTCCTCTTTCACCTTATTAGAGGAGCATGATAAAGAATTTCAAATCCACCACTGTACTTATCTGTGAGCCAATTAATCAAATCAATCAAGAATCAGCCCCTCTCTCTCTTAGAGTTAGTGAGGATTTGTTATTTCCGTTACAACTGTCAATTAGCTTTGCTTAGATATAATTATTATTGTAGCCTTCTTCTGTTAGTTTGTTAGCCTGAGTATATATATAGTTGTCAAACCATTGTAAAGAGACGAGAAGATTGAATGAGAATTTTATTTTCCTCTCCTTCATTTTTCTCTGTTATCGTGATATGGTATAAAAGCAAATTTTCGCTGCTCAATCTCTTCGTCAATCGATAGATCTTCTTTGGTTTGATTCTTCATTTATCTCTAATCCTTGATTCTTCGATTTTGTCTGAGTAGATTATCGATCTTTGGTCTTTTTCTTTGAATTCTATGAAAACTCCAAAATCTAGTAGTTCCATCATGTCAATCGGCAAATCCGCATTGACGATCCTCTGAGTCCTTACTATCATCACCAGGCTGATAGTCTTCATCTTTTTCTTGTTTCTCAGTTGCTCACAGGAGATAACTATGCCTCCTGGAGTGGAGCAATGACAATTGTCATCTCTATGAAGAACAATTTAGGGTTCATCGATGGCTCTATCACCAAACTAGAAGGTACTAATCTGAATCTTCTTAATTCATGGATTAGGAACAACAATGTAGTGATTTCGTGGATACTGAACTCTGTGTCTAAAGAGATTTCTGCTAGTATTATATTTTCAGAGTCTACTTTTGAAATCTAGTTGGATCTTAAGGATCGCTTCCAACAGAGTAATGGACTTAGGATTTTTCAATTACATCATGAATTGGTGAATCATAGCCATGAACAAAACTCTGTCAGTGTGTATTTTACAAAACTAAAGGCTTTGTGGGAAGAGCTGGGCAATTTTAGGCTTGTTTGTACATGTGGAAAATGCACATGCGGTGGAGTTAAGGAGCTTAACTCTTATTATCATAAGGAATACATTATGCCATTCCTCATGGGGCTCAATGATTCCTTTGCTCAAGTTAGGGGTCAGTTGCTTTTAAGGTTTTCTCTTTGATTTCTCAAGAAGAGCGTCAGAGAACAGTTGGTCAGTAAAATTCAGGCACTAATTCTACTAATGGAATGGCGTTTGCTGTTAAGAATGATAGCTTAAAAGGATATGGCAACAACACGCACATTCACAATCCTGAAAGCAATAAAGGCCATAAGAAAGACAGACTTTTATGCACTCACTGCAACTATCATGGCCACACTGTTGAAAGGTGCTACAAGTCTGAAAAATCAGTCCAACAATCAGACTGTGGTTGTAATCAGATATCTAATTAGTCCAATCTACTTGAGAAAAGCAACAGGGACATTGGAGGCACTGAGAATTTCTTCCAGAGCCTTCACAAGACTCAGTATCACCAGTCATCTGTCTTCTTTTGCTAAGACCAATGAACAACAAGATGGTCCTCCATTGTACCTCATACTTTATAGGTACATGTTTCTCTATTTCTGTGATCCCTCTATTGTCTTCTTCGAAATGTGGGATAGTGGACTCAGGGGTTTCTAGACATATTTGTTCGAATGCAAATGCTTTTACCTCTATGAGGCCTATAAAGAATTCTACTATCACCTTGCCAAATCATACACATATTTGTTAGTGATGAAGTTGTTGATGGATTTATCATACTTATGCCTATTCGGTCCCACCATCAGCTTGTGGATATGTTTACAAAGTCTCTACCTTTTGTCTTGTTATCCTCACTCTTATTCAAGATGGTTGTTAAGAACATTCACAATCCATCTTAACGGGGAGTTTTAGAGTTAGAGATTTGTTATTTCTATTACAACTGTCAATTAGCTTTGTTTAGCTATAATTATTATTGTAGCCTTCTTTTGTTAGTTTGTTAGCTTGAGTATATATATAGTTGTCAAACCAGTGTAAAGAGCCGAGCAAGATTGAATGAGAATTTTAGGGTGTGTTTGGAATTGATTTTAAATTATTTTTTTAAAATATTTTTACACGTCTTTTGAGACTTGAAAATGAAAGCGGTCTGCAAGCCTTATTCATTTAGCAAATATTTTAAAAATAAAAATGAAAACAAAAAACAGAGACAATAATTTTTGTGAAGAAATTAAAAAACGGTTAAAAATTATTTTCTTTTTCTTATTTTTATTTTCTAATATTTATCAATAATATTATAATATATAAATTAATAATTATAATAAAATATAATATTATTTTTTTATTATATTCAAAATAATTTCTTAAAAAACTAACTAAGTACACTTTTAAATTCAGTGTTAAAATAGTTTTATTTTTACTTTTATATTGAAAACAAATCATTTTAAAAACGTCGCCGGGTCCTTATTTTCCTCAACTTCGTTTTTTTCTGTTCTCGTAATACTCTCTACATAGAAATTTCAAAAAAAACCGTAAACGAACCATCAACTATGACCACGAGCAACTCCGACCCACCTCACTTGTCATCACCACCACAATCCCCCCGCGTCTTCTCCGAATCCGACGAGGTCCACCTCCTCAAAACCTTCCGCAAGATCTCCAAATCCTCCTCATGCTCGTCGTTTTCCAATTCGCCATCGTCGTTGTCGTCGTTAACCATCACTTCCCAACACTTGGACCTCATCGAATCCTCTCTGGGGCTCAGATTCAGCCACACCCAGATCATCGACAAGCTCCGCCGCCTCAAGCTCAAGTACCACCGCCAGGCCAGGACGAAGTCCCTCATCCGGACCCACCACGACCTCCGCCTCCACAGAATCTCCCGCAGTATCTGGGGCAGGATAAACATTAACTCCGCAAAACGACATATAGCTTTTCACCAGGAGAAGGGAGAGAATAATACTGATGCTGCTGCTGTTGGGTTGGAGGATTTCCCTTTCTTGAAGGAGGAATTCTCTCGGATTCTGCCGGAAAATGGGGTTTGGAAACAAGGGTTGAAGTGTTTGGGAGCAGAGAAAATGAGGGGATTTAATGAGGAGTGGATGTTGGTGAGGAAGGAAGAGGCTGAGTTGAGGGCTAAGAGGGCTGAGTTGGAGAAGGAGCTGATTCACTTGCTGGTTCCGCCATTTGGATCTTCCTCCATATCATGATTTACTTCTCTTCTATTGTATTGTTCTCAAAACTTTTTTTAGGTGTAATCTTTTTTTTTTCCTTTTCTTTTTAACTTTTTCTGAGTAATCTCTTTGTATGGTTCATCACAAATCCAATTGAGTAATCCCTTTGTAAGGTTTATTTCAAAAAAGGAAACTAAATTGATGTGTTTGTGGTAAGTAACAATACTGTTAAGTAGGAACTAGTAATTTAAATTAATCCTTACTACTTACTAGACTATAACCACGAGGAATATGAACGGTAGAATTGCCTCCTGAATGAGATCTGGTTGTGAATCCAATTTTGCTTGCTTGTGTGTTTAATCCCATCTTGGAGGTATGTACAAAACATTTGAAATTTGGAAGTAAATCTTTATAAATCCTGAAACTGTAGTTAAGATACACAACTTTCTAAAAAAAAAAAAAAAGACATTGGTGAAGTGTGCAGTATTCAATCTAACATGGAAGATAACAGCTTAAGGCTCAGCTTGATTGTAGTGATTCAAGGCATACGAGACGATGGTGTGGCAATAGCTGAGAACGATAGAGCTACATTGTGGAGAAATGAAATAAATCATATTGATCTCGTATTCTCATTCATGATCTAAGGAGTCATAACAGATTTCCAGAAATGGGCGATAAAAATTTTGGGTTTTTTTTTTTCTTTGGTCCACCTTTTACTCATTTGAAACCCAACATTTTAAAAATCGGTGTAAACCCCAATTCATCTAAAGAAACGTTAAAACAATCTAACAACTCATTATAAAAATAGAATAATATAACAGAGTGAAAACTCAAACAAAGCTTATTGGACCTTTATTTCAAACAAAATTTCAGATATTTGACGCCAACCCTTAAAAAAAAAAAAAAAAAAAAAATAGTTTGATAATGATGTTACGGCCCCGTTCACTTCGCTGATTCGAATTTAGAATTTAAGTTTTTCTACAGTAAAAAACTCTCATAAACAATCACATCTAATTTTTTTACTACAGTAAAAATTCTCACATAAAGTCACATATCAACTCGAATTCTAAACTCAAATCAGCGAAATGAACAAGATCTGAATCACAACATAAAATACGAGAGGCTTACATAACAAGAAAGCAGTAGCGGATAAACCTAAACTGTCAATATAGTCTTTCAGCAGTACAAACGACACAAAATCATCCAAAGCTCCGGTTTAACAAAAGTAGTAGGTGAAATTCTCCGAATGGGAGAACTATATAGCCCAAGTACACATATATCATACCATTCAAACTTCTTTAAACAAACATACTTCTCAAGTAACTAGTATCTCATTTCCAGATACTTAAAACATGAAATCTATAACATTGAATACTTCTTAGGAAACAAGTTCAGCTTAGGCTTGGTTCTCCTGCTGCTGCTGTTGATAGTTGAGAGGCCTCCTGAAGAGCATGATGTGTGGCTCAGGGCGATGGATGGCATAGTGAACCCACCCGCGACTCTGCTGTACACCAATGGCGCGCCATTCATTCTGAAATTCAAATCACAGAAAAAAATATATATATCATGACAAGAACATCAAAAATTCAAAATCAAAGTGACGCAGCAACCTACAAAAGCAAAGGAATAAAAAACCCTGAAACATGAGGACACAACGAGCCTTATTTTTTAGATTGTATTAACTAAAGGAGAATTACAGAGAAACACTCTCTGCAAATACACTTCAAAAGCTTAGCCAAACAATCTGATCTGAAAATAGCACAAGTCTGATAAAAGCAAAAAAAAAACTGAAACTAAACAATCCAAAGGACACAGCATTTGGCTAAACGAGAAAACAAACAAAAGTAACTGGGTAGAAGAAATGACAAATTTCACTTGGAGTTATTTTACAAATGCTTTGCATCACAAAGACACTAAAGAGAAACCGAAGTTGACAGGTGAACAACATGAGTACATTATCATATGTAGCTTCATAGTAACTTAAGTTTATTTCGGTTCTAAAAGTGCTTCAACGCATTGCATTCTCAATTTAAACAAAACAGTTCTACAAAATCGTAGTGGGCCAAACAGGAAAATTATTTGCTTGATCCAGTCACTGAAACAATTAATTTTCTATCATAGTATCATACTTTTGCTTTTGAAATAGAATATGAAAGAAGACACAAACAATAAAGCCCGACACTTTACAACTCAAACATTCAAATACAAAAAAAGCATATAATTCCTATTATGATCTCATATTCCACTCTTACAAGAACAGATAAATTAAATAATGCTTAGACACTACGATGGTTTAAATTACTTATCCATCCACCATTATGCCAAATAATACCACTATATCACATGCTTTTGACACAATAAATGAATCCAAAAAAGACCTGCAAACGAAAATAATTACAAATGCTTTGATACAAGTATGGCATTAAATCAAAATAACACCAAAACAAATTTGGCTCCAAAATACAAAAATCTATAAAGAAGAAAAGTCAGCTATTCAATTTAAAAACACATTGTTGGGCCTTGTTACTAATTTTCCTTTACAATTACACAATCCAAGGGTACAAAGTTTCTTTCCATCTTCTTTTTAGTCCTCTTTCTCGGTAACCAAACAGGAAATTTTCTTCACAATAACCAGAAGAAAATAAATGGACATTTATTTTAAAAAAAATAAAAAAACCCTAAATACTTACTTCCGACAGTAAGCGATTCTTGGGAAGCAGTTTGGCTACCTCCGGAGGAAGAACGACATGCCTATATTTCACCGATTAACAGAAATCAAAGAGAACAAATCGAAAAAATAAATCAATTTCAATAACAAGAAAAAATGAAATGAAACTGAAAAATCACGAAGAGAGAGAGAGAGAGAGAGTACCTATACTCGTAAGTGTCATCGAAATACTTCTCGGAGTACTGGATCTGACCCATATCACTTGTCGTTGGTCACAGAAACTCTTCTTCTTCTTCACAGAAATTCGAATGCTAGGGTTTTTTTTTTCTTCGGACGAAAAAATCTCGATGAATCTGGGAAGAATACCAAACGAAAATGGAAAATCAAACAATTATATGTAAAAATTATGAGAAACGAAACGCAAATAGTCGAGAAGGATTCAGTAGAAGAATACCAGTGGCTGTAAGAGAGAGAGAGAGGGAAATGGGAATTGAAATGAAAGCGAAATCGTGAGGAAATGAGGAATTTTAAGCAAGGGTTTGGTGGGAGCGGACTCTATATATAAATTAAAAAAATTATTTATATATATAATATATTTTTTGAAAAAGGATTTATTATTTGTTTTTAGTTTATTTCGACTTTTTATATTAAGAAAATTCTGGAGTAAGGGAGGCACCTGCCTGCCTCGTGCGTTTTTTTTTTTTTTCTTTTTATTTGAATTTCAAAATTTGAAAATATTCTCCCGCTATATATTAATAATTGGTTTGCAACTTAAAAGTGTTGTCGATTCCAACGGTAAAACAACACCAGAAGTAAAATAAAATAAAATTATTTTTTGAGGGGGGAGGATCACTCTCGGAAATGCTAATTAACATAAGAAGATAGACAAGTCCTTTGAAAATAAAAATATTTTTCTCTTTTTTTTCTTTTGCATTTTTTATTTGTGAATTTCACGTGTAGAGTTCCGTTAGGAATTTGTCAAACGTTAACAATTTCACTATTGTATTGTAAAAATATCTTTATCTTTAAAAAAAAAAAGAAATCAAGAATTGAAGGATGTGTCCAAATTAAAAATATGGCCAAACTATCAATTAATGAACAATTCAAGGACTAATTGGGTCAATTATCTTTTTTTTTCAATTTGAATTATTTTCACCAATACCCTTGAAGATATGTACTTGTCTTATTTTGACTCTTAAAATGACGCTATTATGATATTACATAAATATATAATTTTGCATTTATTCGTTAATAAAATTTTCTATTTTAAATCGAATTATGCACGTGAAGAATTAGAAATGGTAACTAGAAAATTGGTCACATTAAGACGTTTGGTTCATGAATTCAGAATTATGATTCATAATTATTTTTGTTTTACGTATATTTTTTTTGAGAAAAAATATTATAGCGAACTACGAACCATAATTCGAATCATGACATGAATCTCTCTACCAAACGCACGCTAAAATTGATATGTAGTCGCTCTTACTTTGAATATTAGGTCTCGTTTTTCCTTTACTATACTTGAAGATTTCAAAGGGTCAAATTTGAATCGAGGAATCTCTATTACGAATCAAGCATGAGTGTCGATGAATAGGCAAAAATTTTCTATTCGAAGAAAACGGACCCCAATACGAAGTCTTTGTGGCATTTAGAGCATAGATTCATGGTGGTCGACTCCCAAAGAACTCATGTCACGCCAAAGGCAGTGACCCTCTAATACTTGGCAACTATTCTCTTTCGCCATAGATGCACTTGGAGCATTTGAATTAGAGAGTGATCTTAGTTTAGAATTCAAATCTTAGTTTAAGATTCAAACTGACTTTTGGGAGAGAAAAATTCAAGGACAATTCAAACTATTAACAATGGTTCAAGGACAACTCAAATTGTTGATTTTAGAATTCACTTCCCCCGCTAAATTTTAACAGTCCGAATTGTTATCAGCAGTCCAATAGTTCTAGATTCTACTTTTTTCTCTTAATTTTGAATCTTAAAAATGTCATAATTTATTCGTTTAATTTCGATTGAGATGATTTTTTTAATGTGTTCATATTAAAGAGAGAAACAAATCCCCACCCATATTGCATATTTTTTAATGTCATTTATAATGAGATTTTATAAGTTTTGTTACAAAACTCTAATGACATTTTTCAACACTTTATCCAAATACAGTTTGGATTTTATTCTCAATTTAAATTACAATTTATTTGCATATCCAGACAACAATTTAAATCACAATTCAGATTCTACAGTTATAACTAAAAAAGTTTAAATTTACACAGTTTGAATTGTTAAACCAAACAAGTCCATGGTGTCTCTATTTAGAGGTTGTTTGGTTGAGGGATTCGTTCTCTGATTCGAATCATGGTTCGTGGTTTACAGTATTTTCTCTCACAAAAAATACACGTAAATCAAAAATAATTCTAATCACATGATTCTAATCCATGAACCAAACGTCTCCTGTTTTCTTAGCTAGGTGGCCACCATCAATTGACTCTACAATGGATGAAAAAGGTCTCTTTCCCCAATGTGAGGGCAATGCAAGGGCAAAGTAAAATGAGCGCATATTCTTCGGAAAAATTGGTGAAAATAACCTTTTTTATTTTACACATTTATCAAACTAAGTAAAAGCCTTTTCTATAATCTTGTCATCTTTTTGTGGGTATATGTAGGAATCTTTTTTAAGAGCCTTCCAAACTAAGAGAGATACAAGAAAATTGAAGGCAATAATAACAATATATCTGACCAAATCCATCTTCATTATGCTTTTGAAAATCGTTTGGCATTAAATTTAGGAGTGAAAATCAGTGACCTGATTAACCCTCCTAATCCATCCAAACTTTACAAAGTGAATTGGTTAACACTAACATAAACCATACCTTAAACTTAGGTAACCCACTCAACCTAAAGGCCTATTTGACTCATATGTTTAAATCAGTTATTCTTGATTTTAAAATTTAAAATTCAAATTTTTTGTAATTTTTTGTGAAAAACACTGTAACAAAATTAAAACCATGAGTTTAAAACACATCAAACAAACGAGATCTAGATCATTAACTGGGTTTGGGTTCAAGTTATTCAACCCAAGGAAAACCCAATCCGTCTAATTAAAGTTTTTATAAATTCATAAAAATATTTCAAAAAGTATAAAATTGTAAAATCATATATCAGATTTAGAATATTTACATCAGATATATTAATGAATGTTTCGAGATTAGTATTGTTCAGCATGTTGGTTCATATTTCGTACATCTAAATTAGAGGATCTCTATTTTCTTTAATTTTCGTTATGATTTGTTATTTTTGTATTTAAACTTCTATTTTTATTTGTTTTATTGTAATTCTTAAGTCTCGTTCATTTCAGTGATTCGAGTTTTCAGTTATAAATTTCTACAGTTAAAAACTTTCAGAAAACGTCACATTTAATTTTTTCTGCTACAGTTAAAAACTCTAAAAAAATGTCACATCTCAACTCGAATTGAAAACTCGAATCCGCGAATGAGAACTTAGAGTTACATGAATAAATGAATTAATAAGTGAATTGTAACTTTCGAAACCTACCCAATTGCTTAGCTTTAATTAGATTGCAGCACAAGAAGCAACTGTGGATGAAAAGTCCAACCAAAATGCTAGGGCAAGGCTCTCGATACTTTTCTAATTAGGAATGTAACTGCATATTCTAGTACATAGAAAAGACAATTCATTCAAAAATTTGAACTTCAGCAATCACAGAAATGAATAGATATCATCAAATTCCAATGCCTCCCAACTTCTTCACTCAATTGTTTACATACTGAGATCAAAATCAGAGAAACTTTAAACTTAAGAAATCAAAATCTGACAAGGCTTTTGGACTAGTCTCAGAGAAAGGAAAACATTGGAGAAGTAAAAAAGTAATTACTTTCATTTTAGCTTTGGTTCCTCTATCTATCGGCTACAAAATTTTGCTAAGGTCCTCTGAATTCCTCCTCCTAGTTCTATGTTCTCATCTATATCAGATATCTCCCTCCTCTAGTTTTCTATATATCCCAAAAAGGAAACAGCTCGGAAAATTGTGTAGTTATACGAAACTGTTCTCAGTTCTCATGTACACCAAAAAGAAAAAGCAAGGACCCTGTACATTTGAAGGAAAAGGCTCCGACCTTGGAGAAATAGTTGCTTCTCCGTTCCGAAAAGAGAGAAATACTAGCGAACAAACATCCAACAAACACCATCTTATCTCCCAAGAATTCGGCACTTCGGGACTGACTTCCTCAGTACTGATGTCCCTTGGAAGATCATCATTTGGTATTGTTTTTTGAAATGGTTTAGCTGTAACAAAAATATATTGGTTAACAGTCTTAAACTTTTTATATATATCAAAAGGGAGAAAAATAATGATTCACTCACCTCATCTTGGGTTAACCTACTAAAACCAAATTTATTGGTCCATATTGATTCTGCCTCATCAGCAGCTGGTAGCACAAGATTTTTCACGTTCAAGAAGGCAAGAAATCTCTCAAAACATGAAAATAAGGCTTGGAAGTAACCCTAAAAGAAAATAAAAGTTCATCACTTTCATTTGTTGGAGATCAAACAGAAGAAGAAAATGAAGTAAAAACACAGCCAAACCTGTCCTTGGTATTCAGCACTCGTTGCCACCAAAGGAAGCTCTGCCACTTCTGAACCATAAATACGAAATATTCCAGCTGAAACAAGGCATTGGCTGAAATACAAGCAATTAGCACTATAGATTAACCAGTAACCACCTAGAAAAAAATAATACAACAACATATTCAGGCATATTTCTTACTTGACTGTCAGTATTGCACAGTACATCCGACTAAAATCCTGGCCCATGATGCTGTTTCTGTAAAATTAGTCAATCTTAATAGTCAAAAAATAAGTTCCAATCCATAATGCAGAATCATTCACAAACGAAGCAAGCAGATTGGCATTGGATTAAATAAGTAGATACTATTACTCACCCATATAGCAATTCCGGAATCAAGTCGCGATGTGTGGCGGAATCAGTTATTGGAGCAAACTGATCCTACAGCAGAAAGTAGAAAACCAATTAGTACTTAACATGAAAATAGAACTCAAAACTCTCGACACAAGACCACAAGTGGTGGCAACAGCCAAAGGCACTTTACTAAGAGGATCAAAAGAAAGGCGCATAAAAAGCAACAGAAATTGTCAATTAGCGGCTTAAACATCCAACAGAAACATGTTGAACATTGTTTGAAAAAAACTTCTCTAACATATATAAACATACAACCAATGAACACTCACATGGAAGATGGCGACAGCCTTGGAGAGCAGTAATTCTGTCTCTTCATCAGAAGCTATTGTTCCATTCAGTATTCTCCATTTAACATCAACTTCCGCCGCACACTGCGAACCTTCATCTCTGTGCTTCTTCTTTATAACATTGAGAAGATTATTTGGAACCTTCTCTTCTCCATGGACAACTAATTTCTCCAAAGCTGCATTAATTCTGTGACAGTCTTTGCAGCAGAACCACATCCCAGTTGGCAGTTCCTGGTACACAAGCATTTTCAACCTTGAGTAAATGATTCTAAGAATAAATTAAAATGGTCAAAAATAAGAACAAAGTGAATGAGGGGCACCTTGAGATCTTGCATTCCACGATCCTTCAAACAGCCCACATGAAACTCCTTCTCACACTGGGGAAAAAAATTATTTAGAAAATAAGAACCACTATGGTTAGTTATAAATCCATAAACAAGGCATTTTGAGGTTTAAGAGTAGACGGTAAAAAAATATAGAACCTTCGGTCTTAAAATATATACCTGATCACAAAAAAGGACCGTCTGGGGCCCAAAATCAGATTTGCTGAAATCATGACCTCTACAAATGCAAAGATGAGAATATATTAAACAGTAAAGACAACAACATGGCTTGCGACAGTCAGGAGCAAACATTTAACACATCATGTCCGTTCATAACAAAAATATTTGCTGCTTCAACAAAATTATGGCAAGGAAAAGTCATCTAGTAATAGATAAAATGTTAACTTAAAAGGACGACATACCCACACAGTGCACATCCACCAAAATCAACTTCTCCACTATTCATAATACGGATGCAACGGTTGGTAATCTGTTCTATAGGATCAATACCTAGGACCCTTCCAGCTGCACGGGCATTGGCGTTATGCTCCACATACTTTACATTTGAATACTGATTCTCGCATAATTGGCAGTACCAAGTACCGGTAGAGGTGCTAGGTAGATTAATACACCCTGTAATGGCCAAAAAAAGTCATGACGTTAACAGGTAGTTTGAAGTTCAACAATGCAAACATTGATCAATTAAAGAAGCAAAGATATAAAAGACCACACCTGTGGAGAAAGTGATAAACCATCAAATTCAAGGAAATATAAATGCAGAAGTTAATAGCAAAAACATAATAGTAGAAATGAGTATAAAAAGAGGCAAGAAGCTAAAGGTACAGAGTGCTTCACAAGTATATCGAAAGACATATGCAACAGGGAAAAAAAAAGATACAGAAAGAAATTACATCGCATTATTCAACGTTCTAAATGGTCTAAAGCTGAGAATTGTTTCGGCATGCAAGTGCAGACGCAAGAAATGGACTGAAGAAAAACAGGTCTACTATATCACATCTTGTAATTCTTTTACCACGAGTTTATCAGTCTTGTGCAATTAGCTACAGCCCAAGAAACAAGGAGAAAAATACAAACTAAAGAAGAGACGTGTGGACAAGAGAAAGAGAAGGGGACAATGCATTAGGGCTGGAATAGTTTTGCTTATTACAAAATTTCGGATCAATAGTTTTTTCTGTTCATCAATACAACAAAATTGTTGTCATATCATTTTTACCTATACTTTTACAGAAACTGCATTTCCAACCAATACGCATTTGAACTGGGTAGGGCTCCAAAGTTATGGATTAATGCACATTGTCTACATACAGACTAATCCTAACTTCACCTTTCTTTAATTATTTTCATAATTTTCCATATAAGAGGACCAACCAGGAATCCTAAAACTAAAAAGATCCAGGAATTTGGACATCTAAATTTATGCTAGAAGAGAGAGAGAAGAAAATGCAACACGACACCAACTGAAAGAAAAGTGAAACCCACGTTCATGAAAAGCCCTTGGACATCCATCACAGCACACGAGATCCCCTCCATCTTGACAGACAAAGCATAGATCATCATTTTTATGAGTAGAGACTTTGCGATCCCTTGATAGAGACAAGGATAATTCATGAAGAGACACTCCATTAGATGTGTAAATATGCAAGTATCTGCCAAACAAAATACGCCCAAGTCAAAACAAAAGATGACAAAAGAATGGTATCAAGTACCTAGAAGCTTCCTCGCAAAGGTAGGAGAGCCATCCAATAATTTTTTCTTAATGCCATCAGGCAATAAAAAGGGCATTAGTCTCTCAAATACTAATGAATTACTGGATCCTAGACCAAAAGTTTAGATCCAACCACCAAAATATTAGTGAACAGAGACTCACGGCTTCCGGCGGGATGCCCAACCGGCATGAGCTTCAAACTGTGAGGGGCTGACCTGGATTTGGGGTAGAAAAATAAATAAATAAACTATTGCCAGTATGGAAACGCGAAAATCAAATCCAGCATAGACTAAAAATACCTCAGAATTGCAGCAACTACAAATGATTCCAGACCCCATTATATAACCGACCAACAGTTTCTGCCAACAACATACGACTACAAATAATAAACAATTCTCAATAGAAATTGCTGAAAATTAAACTTGCTACTCTTTATTGATACCTGTCCACGAGAGTAATATGCCACTTCAGTTCCATCCGGCAATATATTTTCCTCGAAAACCAATTTATGCAACCGAATATCCCTTTATGTCAGAAAGCAAGTGAACAATTAGATTCAGGTTAGCAAAATAAATTCAGGGCAAGTATCTCAACAGAACATACCGCTAACTAAGAAAAGTGAACATATGTGAGAGAGAGAGAAAGAGAGAAATTACTTTCTAGTTATTCGTCCCTGACTCTTACTTTGTGATGAGTTGCACTTCGGCAAACTATAAGACAACTTTGGGGTGAAAACTGGTTTGGGTGACCTGAGAGAAGCTATCTAAATCATATGCTAGGAAAAATATAAAACATAAGAAAATTTTCTTTGCTCATAGATAACAAAATAGTTGAGGGCAATTCATTCAACAAGACAAACACCATTTTCATAGATATTATTACAGGAAAGATTCAAAGAACAACACATTCGTCTGCATATAACCATGGATAGCAACTATAAACAAATAAATTCTTGAACATGTTAACAACTTGAAAATAAAGCTTACTTGTCATTGTTGTCAGCAGTTCTGGCTACACTAGAGTGAGATTCTTTCAACTCCACGCATGAATTACAAAGTAGCGTTGCTTTCCTAGTACCAGCTTCAGGCATAGACCCTATAATATAATTCATTAAACACCAATGACCCTACATTGGCTAGCAAATGCAAAAGGACATTTTAATGCATTAAATTGGAGATATTGGACATAAAAGCAACCTTTGCAATGGAAACACTTAGTACACTTTCCAATCAATGAGCAACCAAGGACTCTTTGAACAGCTTCTTCCAAACTGATTAATGGAGAGTTTTGGCACGCGCTTATGACATCGCGGAGGGTGCTTCCGTTCTCCAAGTATATATACTCTGGCGGACGCTTATTTAAACTACCAGCGTGTAGCTCAAAAACAGTAGGAGTAACAACCTACATAAGTTCAATATTTAAAACTGAGACATTTGACATGTCATCTATAAACTTCAATGAAGAAACAAAATCAGCAGTTACACAGTTCTTACTTGCATTCCTTTACAACTTCCACAATGGCACACTATCCCAGAGCCTTTGATCACCCCTTGCAGTCCTAAATCTCCAGTTTCTCTTACCTGGAATATCGACAACTCATGGAAATGAACTTCCTATGGTGCTAGAATACACAGCAAAAAATGAAGACATTGTGAAAAGAAACCGGAAATTAATACCTTTGGGCCTCTTAAGTACCTCACGAGCTGTCCCTCGAGAATTCCTGTGTCAAGAAGTTCTTTCAATTTGGCTGGAAACTTCTTCCCTGCATTGAGAAACTTCTTCCCTGCATTGGGAAATTTCTTTGCAACCTTAACTGGCAGCGTGACCAACTGGCTACCGGTATTGTTATTTCTCTCTTTCACATAATTTTCCGCTGCTGGTTTCACCGCCTTGTCTGGCTTTGGCTTCAAAGCTGACCGAGTAAACCATCTTAACGGCTTTTTGGGCATCGTGTCTTCTATCTTATTTATGTCATTGACTGGAATTACCGATGCTTCGTCCAATGAAGCCTGTGTAAAATCGATTTTCTCTCCTTGGTCTTCCGAGGGCTTATCTTTGGACACGGGTTCTTCTACTAAAGGATTTGGGGGATCCATTTTCACTGCTTGCACTTCTTCCATGGGCTTATTATCTTCAAATAATTTTTCATCTCCTGAAGGCTCCGATTTCTTCAGTGTCTCTGTCTCTGGCTTTCGCCTGAAAACCATCCGAGTAAACCTTTTCAGAGGCTTTTCAGACCGTGCATTGTTCATGTCATCTATCGGAATCGCAGCTGCTTCACCCACTGGAGCATCTATGGGATGAATATTCCCCGCCTGCTCTTCGGTTGGCTTAATTTCGAACATGGCTGCATCCACTAAAGCCATTTCCGTTTCATTTATCTGCGTTTTCTCTTCAATGGGGTTAACGTTGCAAAAAGGTTCATGTACAGTATCAATTTTCTTTCTTTGCTCCTCCACAGCCTTATATCCCAACGGCTTTTCACCGTCGCTTCTCACTCCTTCCTCCTCCACAGACACAACCACACCACCATCCCTGTTTTCATCCTCCTTCGCCAAATCCTCCACCAAATCATCACTTCTGAGCTCGTCCCCCCCGCCGATTTCATCCTCCACCACCCCGCTCCACCTCTCAGCCGCCATCTCCAAATCATCACCGACGGCATCCACCACATCGCTCTTCGCCTCTTCCTCCTCACTCACGGCGTCGCCCTCCTTCGCCTCCGAGATCTTCAACCTCTTCTCTCTCCCTCCTTTACCGCCGTCATCCAAACACCCTACAATCTTCCTCGACGAGCGGGTCCGACCCAAAGACCCGCAAATCTCAGTCTGGACCTTGAGCGCAAACGCGAACTCGCGCTTTAGCCCCGCCCGGACCCGTGACAGCACCACGAACTCCTCCGAATCCGCGCCTTTCGCCATGGAAACTCCCCAATCGAAAAACAAATATATAAATAAAAAAAGATTCCAAAACCCTAAACAAATCCAAAAAAATCCTAAATCTCTCCTTCGGATTGAACCACGAACAAATAGCGGAAGAAAAAAAAATTACAAAAACCACTCGAAATCCCTGCGTCTGAGCATTAAAGATTGGAGGAAAAACCGCAGAATGGAAATCTGAGAGATAAATAAAGATTTCTAGGGTTTCTCAGAGAGAGAGAGAGAGAGAGAGAGAAGTAGAGATTTTCTAAGAGGATTATAAAGCTATGGTGGGGGAATAAGGAACGAGCGTATTTAGGTCGGTTTGGTTTCTCAGAAGAAGAAGAAGACCAACAGCTATACAGAGGGAGAGAAATTGGAGAGAAGAGAGAGGGAGAGAGAGATAAGTAATCCACCTATATATTTTTTATGACCAAAATGCCCCTATGAGTAGGATAGTCTGGTTTTTGGAATTTGCACGGGAGTCCCTGTTATATTGTTTCTATAATTTGTTTTTCTTCAGTGGTCTTGTGTTTGAAATTTTTAGTGCAAAATCAAACAAACTAATCTGATGTGGTTTAAGCAGTGAGAATGAAGGAAAAATTTGTCATTTTTGATTGAAATGAAACTGAGTTAATTCTTAGTTTTGTGCTTCAAATCTGTAAATTGAATATCTTATGCGATTCCATGTCTAAAATTAGAATTATTATATATTTTATGGGTATCGATTTTTTATTTATAACAAATCTTTGAGATAAGAACGAATTTATTGTGAATCTGCCTGCGAGCATGTAAGGTGGTTTGGTGAGAATTAATTATTAGAATGTAAAGTTAAAACATATAAAAAATACAGTTGTAACGCGCTGAATTCAACTATTTACTAATTATTTCTCGTCTTTCTTTTTTCTTATTCATTTCACCTTCCTTACTAAGAAAACACAAATAAAGAAAACAACTATCACTTCTGTCAGGCGGTTTTTATCCTATTCCAGTCAAACGAATAACGCGGAATGTCTGCCACGTGTTACTTACCAAAAACAATCAGATAAGCGTTTCACGTGATTCGTATAACTGATGAATCTACATTGTGATATCCGAATTTCATTTCCGCACAAGAGGACAAAGTCACAGCTTATCTAGAATTAAAAATAAATAACCGCATATGGTGTTATCTGTTCACAATTGTATTGAATTGATGACCAATATTCATCTCTCTTCTGATCTTGTCCTTCAAATGCATTATACTGATGTATGAACCTCTAATTTCAGGTTAGATGAAGTGTTAAATTCTGTAGATAATCTCATTGATGATTGACCTTTCCAATCTACAAGATCTGCTAATGAAGCAATATCCATGATTAAGCTTATGTTCATCAGGTTCAAACCAAGCAAACTATATGAACCAATATATCCTATGCAGGTAATCGTATATATGCACTTCCTAATCATAACGAAGAATAAATATAAATACATATATATTACATATATACATATATAGATATATATGCACACACATGGAAAAGAAATACATATATATTACATAAATACATATATATTACATAAATACATATATATTACGTAAATACACATATATTACGGAAAAACATATATATTACATATATACACATATATTACATATATACACATATATTACTGCATCGTTCATTTCATCAATTCGAGTTTTCAATTTTAGGTTTCTACAGTAAAAAACTCTCAAAAAATGTCACATTTAACTTTTTCTGCTACAGTGAAAAGCTCTCAGAAAATGTCACATCTCAACTCGAATTAAAAACTCAAATTCACGAAGTGAACGAAACCTACATATATACACATATATTACATATATACACATATATTACATATATACACACATAGAAAAGAAAAATCCCAGAGACTATTGAGCATTGAACACTATAAAAAGTCCCAATCCCAATATATGGAAATACCAGGCCTTGAATTGTAATAAAAAAGGAAAATCTCTCTGGGCAAGCAATGTAGGGGTATTTTCGTCCAGACGATAGACAATGTTATGGTTGTTCTATTTTTCGTGGAAAGGAATTTTTGAAACCCGAGATTTTTCGCGGGGGGGAGTGCAGCGAATTAACCGACCCAAGAAAGCCCATTCAGAAAACGCCACGTGTAAGAACTGTTGCACGTGCGTCGTTGTGGTGGGTCCATTTGGGTTCCTCTGTGGCGAGGCTCACCTTAAGGATTTCTAGGAATTTCGATTGGTTAGTCTTGGAAACATTTACGCGCTGGCGGGAAATAGTTGTTAATATGTCGTTATTAACGGTAGCCGTTGGAGAATCATATTTTGGTTTTTTTGTTTTTGGTTTTTTTGTTTTTAAAAGATAGTTGGTACGTGTGACATAAGCACTAGTATTTTGGTGATCTTCTTTCCCCCTACTTTGTTCTATTTGGAAAGTTAGTGTGTTTGATTAGTAAATTCGTGTCATAGTTTGAATCATGATTCGTAATTTATTACAGTATTTTTTTTCATAAAAAATACACATAAATCAAAAATAATTTTAAATCATGATTCTGAATCTATCAACTAAACATCCACTAACCTATTTTTATATTAAAGAGTACCCAATCTAGTGAAAGAAAAGAAAATTACATTAGTTTATGTTTGAACTTTGAAGCAGGTGTAGTGAAATTGAACTATTTAGTCCCAATCTCAAGACTAATTTTTTAAAATTTATGTTACAATTCAACTCAAATTATAACTCAAATTTAGCTCAAGATTTACACTAAATCACCATAACTTAAAAATATAATTGAACGAGTCCTAAAACTTTTTTTTTTAAATACCTTAAAAAGTTAAGAAAGTTGTACTAGTCCAGTCCCATGTTTTACACTTTCAATATGTATATATATAACCTTCTAAGATCAACAACTAATGCAATTGATCACATTTCGTTATTGGAAAAACGGAATATCAACAGTAGTTTTTTTATAATTGGAATATCACTCGCAGTTGGCTTATTAAAATTAAATACTAAATACTAATTGACATTGATTTCCACGAAAGGTATATAGAGAAGAGTATTTTGGAAAATCATGTCCTGTTGAGTTGCATTTAAGTAAATAACGTTTAAGTATACATAGATGAAACACCATTTTACAGAAACAACACAAAAAGATGCTTAAACTCTAGGAGTAAATTACAATTTAGGATACGTTTAGTTTGATAGAATGGAATGCAATAAGAATAAGAATAGGAATAGGAATGTAATGGAATAAGAATGGAAATAGAATAATGGTTTATTCAAATTCTATTATTTGGTTGAGCATTGGAATCAATATTGGAATCACAATTGTTGTGTGAGAAAATGTGAATGACGCGTGGAAGAATAACAGTGTGACACGTGGTCTTACTTTTTCTCAAAAGGCAACAACCCTCGATGCTAGGGACTCCCTTTCCTTCTACTACAAAGGAAGCCCAACTTTAGACGCCGACTCCTCATGACGACGACATGTCGTACCGTCGACCTTACGACAGAAATCTTTCGGGAGAAAATCAATTGTCAAGAAAGACTAGGCTGAGCAAATAGAGACGGCGAGAGGAATGCCCCAAAAGGGAAAAGCCTGACATCGCAAGTTGCGTGCATAAATGAGGGATGACTGCAGTACAGGCATTAATTGCAAACCCTTAAACCGCCCTACGGGGGACAGAAAAGGGTTACAGGTACGCACAGAGCCGTAATAGGAGACTAATTGGCCGAGTGAACAGTTCCTAAAGTGATTAGTGGGCTACAGACTGGGCCTAGAAAAGCATACCACTTGAGTGCTTCTGCCTACAAAGGAGACCCACCCGATGAAGGAAGCTCGGCTATAAAAAGGGCAAAGCCCCATACAGGAAAAAGGTTCACTTCTTGAGAGAGAAAAAATGAGAGAACATCAGTTGATGTAAATTGTAACAATCTCAAAAGGAATATAAAACTACAGTGGATGTAGCTCTTCATTAACATAGAACCACTATAAATTTTGTGTGTTCTTCTACTTCAAGCATATTTTCTCATATTGCTCACCATTCTAAAAATACAACAAACACTTCATTGCATAAATTGAGTATACAGTCAATATCAAGCCGGTAATCCAACCGGATACCTAAAGGTGACCCGGCCTATTTTTGTTAATGAGATTTCACCGTCAACAATTGGCGACTCCACTGGGGAGCGAACCCAGAATCTCTGGTTCATGCATTTGACCCCCAACAACAACATAGTCAGCAAGCATGCCTCCAAGAAGAAGAATTGAGGCCATCAACCAAGGCAGCCAAATGGACGAAACCGCCACACATCTGGTGAATGATGGGATAGAGGAAGGTCCACCTCCGGTCAGAAATGAAGTCCCGCCCCAAGATGTGCCGCGGCCGGACCCTGTGCAGATGAAGGCCCAACTAACCACTCTAACCGACATGGTACGTGGACTAATGGCCATAGTCGAGCGCTTGGATGGAAGGAACTCTATGCCGCCTCTAGAAGACGCCCCGAGGCCGCTGGGAGCTGCCATGACTAAAAACCATAACCCCGGTGACCGCCAACATGACCTAGATGGAATCAGGGACAGTGAAAATCAAAGAGGCCATCCTAGGCCTCGACCTTCGCAATCCTCCGGCAACCGTCTAAGGGCCGTCGGGCTCCGGGCTCCCAAGGACCGGATAGTGAGAGGCTTGGGGAACCCCGAGGTACTACCCCAGAACCCAGGAGGAAACCCACCGGGAGACTCAGGGTTAGTACAGGCAGGCGGGTAGGCAAGGGGCGGACCTAACGTCCAAAGGGCAGAGGCGTTGAGAGTAGCTGGCTCAGCCATCTCGGCAGAAGAAGCGCGCACCATTATGGAACGTATGGCGAACTTAGAGTAAAAACTCACGGGTGACGTCGCTGGCCTAAAAAAGAAAATAGGGCAAGTGGCCGAGGTGGTAAACGTCGACATCACGCCTAGCCGCACACACAACCATCCATTTACCGCAAAAATAATGGCGTCACCTCGACCCGATAAATACAGGTCACCGTCGATCCCACCATATGATGGTCAAGGGGATCCCGACGATCACTTGGAGATGTACACAGGGCACATGCTCTTACATGGGTATGCTGAGGAGATTATGTGACGAGCCTTCCGGAACCATTTAATGGACTCTGCCCGAAGATGGTTTCGGACGCTGAAGCCAAACTCTATCTCAA